AGTTCGAAACAATTCAGATTGTTTGAATAGGACATGATTGCTTCTGACAATAGGTGTTGTTGCCACAATTACAAGATATTGTTAATCACATAGCCAGTTTACGTTGTGCTCATTTCGATTCGTTTATCTTGGGGCCCGGCACAAATTAGAGCAGAGATCATCAATAGAGCGAAAAGTCTGGAATTTTGTTACGAATAACTAATCTGATACCTTTTGCCGGTTGTAAGCAATTTTTTGGGAAGTGCAGCAGTAGACTTGCCGACTACCTCAGTTTTTCTACGTAAGATTTCATTATTGTTCACGCATTCAACAATCAAAAGTTTTGGGGCTGCAAATTTTATTGAAAATGAATTGAGGACGGCCTCAAAAGCAACTCACACCTGTGAGCGTTGGATGTAGATCGCATTATTCAGCCAAGTTAATCGAACATGGAGTGATGATAGATGACGTGTAAATCACGATCCGGTTGCAATCTGAGACAGAATGTTTACTATGAACATGATAATTTACAATAGAAATTAGGTGAATACAAGCTGACATGATAACAATGAGTATAGCGTTCATTCAGTATTGCGTTCAGTCAATTAATGCATGTTACCATGACAATTCAGAAATTCGTTAATAATAACGCCCCCTTGAACGCGTAACATTTTTTAATTGGATCATATCGCGGTACAAACTCATATCCACATAGATCCATATACTCTCCGACGATTGATTGTTCGTTTTTGTTTCTGTTTTGTTGAATAAAGTACTTCACAATCATTTTCATGCTCGGATCGTCTAAGTTCAGATCTCGACGAAATTTTGAACAGTTCACTAGATTGCTATTGATAGAATCAATTCGAACCGTTCATCTATGGTCTGAAATTAGAAACTTTAACTATTTCATTTTTCAATTGAGTATGAAGGAATGGAATGAGATTTGCGGCTAAGGAGCTTGAGTGTAGGATTTTTGGACGGTAAATTGTTTGGGAAGATTTCAGTGGGCAGGTTCTTCTGAAGGCTTGCGATTGGTTGATCATTGTTGACGAATCGATGGTAGCAAAATATCGTGAGGCTGCTGAGCAAAATCGAGTGTATGAGTAGTTTGTAATATCGCAGTACCCAGTTTCGTAGTGATAACACAGTATAGTGGATACAATGTATATGAATAAGCGCCACTGCGCCAGTTGAGATAGCTTTAAGAAAATAGCTCTATCTCCTAATGTAAGCACAATTGCTCAGCAAACTATATGATATTCTGAATCTAGAGGTTCTGAGGAATCGAATGGTGTAGAGAAAGTGATATGTTACTGGGCAAATCTTAGAGTACCGGCAGCTTGAATATGGTAATCTCTATAGTGCTATAGTGTTTTTCGTTGAAACGATTGCTCCAACCACCTTCATCGCTGGTAATATTAGTACTGTGGCGAAACCTGATCACTGTGCGATTATTGTTAGCAATTGCGGCACATAAACATGTGTAATGGACTACTGAGAAGGAAGTTGTGTCACGAGATGGAAATAGTGACAAATAATGACAGCTGAGATGGGAATATTGAAAGCATTTATCCCATGGGTTTTGAAGGATTCAAAATTTTCATGAAAATTTGAGAAAGATGAACAATTTCAATTTTTTTCCTGCTTCTAATGAGCCATTCTTAATTGCCAACAACGTAATGACCCTTCAAGTATTCCCTTGCGTGATCGGATCGTCGAATTGTTTACATTGCAAGCAGTTTCAGTGCTTTGAAATTAGAGACAATACATTCAGCGATATACCCTCATGAATTCGAATGTCTCAATTCACATGTTCAGTCATTCAATTGAGTGTCCCCAAGTAATTCATGTAGTGATTCGAACGCATTAACGTAAATAATGTTCTAATCATTTATCAATGATCCATTCTAGTTCGATCTGAGAATAGACTTGTTTTGCTCACTCAGAACATTGCCGTTTTATACCATCCATAAAAAAACATTAAAAATAAGGAATCCTGATGCATAGCAACGATGATACAACCTGTTCTGAAAGACTGTCTTTAGAAGTTTGCTTATTTTACCCTAGAGGCATTGTTCAGCGCTTTGATACTAAAGGCAAATCTGCCTGAGACCTCGGATTTGCTTCCATTGCTTTAGATCACTAGAACTGACGAAAGTGAGGATCGCCATTCAAGGCGTCCCCATTCAAAGGTTTGCTAGGTAATTTTCTTCTCACGGGAAGACCATTAGGAAAGTAGAAATGGCCTTTCACCGTCTTCGCAAGAACGGGTAGAGAAGAGATTGTTCTCGTATAAAACACAAGTGATAAGTTTCTTACCAGTTTTATGGGAACGGATTTTTCTCATTTGTAATCAATGATCATATGAATTTTCTAATTTTTATCTTGCTGTCGAAATATTGAAGAGCAGACGTCGATAGGGATTCGGTATTGATCATCTGATTGCTTCTTGGGTTGAAGGCTGGTCACTCTGTATCAACACCTAGAATTAACGTGTTATAATGGTTGCGGAATTTCCAGAGTATTTTTGTTAACAGTGAGGGAATTTTTCAGTTTCTTCATTTCCATCGTTCCGATGTAATGACCACTTTTTCGATTAATTTCGTGAGTGGCCCACGAGTATGTTCAAAGCTCAATTGTGGCTTACGATCGCAGATCCTTCCCTCTCTTAACCTCAGAGTTTTGCAGATAATGTTTATCGTAACTGATAAATTGATCTCACAATCAGGTCAAGTTCCAGTCTATATCGAATGTATTTCGAGAGGATAAATGTTGAGGATAGATGTGCAGTTCCTTACCAGTCATTCATTATAAACTATTACCGAAGTAATTTTATGAGGAGTACGATTGAAATGAACAAACTCTGAAATGGTACCATGTCGATGTCAACAACGTTTCATTATTCCATGCTAAAATCCTCGATGAAGTCATTGTTCCCATACTACCACCTTGGCGGTTTCGCAGAAATTCATAAATGCATAACATTGTAAAAAAACTGAATGAATGGTTTTCTCGTCAAGTTCTTGATCACGAAACGATTCAATCGGTGTGCTCTCTCGAGCATAATTTCTTTTGTGTGTTGCTTTGTTCAGCGCCAAGTTAGCAAAAAAACATGGAAAGGATAACGTAAAAGCAATTCGTAATGAGTCAAGTTCGTCATTTGTTAGTTGTAAAAAAGCTTTTGAGAATAATTTATGTGAATTAATAAAATTAACGTTGAGAAACAAAAAAAGAAATTATTTTTAAGGCATAACATTTTGATTATTTTCTTTCCCCATTCTAATATTTTCCATCTTCTCGTTTGATTATATTCCACGAATCCTCTATGTTTTAATCACCTCAATTCAATTTTCGTACCTCTTGCTCTTATCACGCAATTAGAAACTTTACTGATCGAACACCAATTCGTATTCCTCAATAACTCCTCGATGACTTAACCAATTATTCGACAAATATATCCAGCTCAGTGTATAAGTCTGTTTTCTTTTCGTTTAATTGCTCGATAGTTACAAATCGCGAAATTATTGTTTTATTTGATTTCCATGTTATCCGTTGAAGTTCATTGAAGGCTTATATACAATATTAAAGTGAATTATCTCGTATGAAACGCACTGACATTCGATGAAAGGCTCATTGTTCCATCAAAACAGTTGCGTTACTTAGAAGCAATGTAAGCGCATATAACTATCATTACCGTTTCTTCGGAAACCGAAAACACTCAGTAACATATCTCTGCGAGTTCTCTAGGCTTTCGCATGTCTAATGGAAACGTTTTTCAGATGAAATGATTGAAAACGAATTTATCTCCATTTGATTGCTTTTCAAATCTGAAAATGTATAAGTCTATGCAGTTAGGTTGTCATAACTAATCGTAAGCACACAAGGAAACAATCCATGTAGATGAATTTCCGTTATCATATGTTAATTGTTAGACTCACACTTGTGTGAAGATTCATAGATGAGCTTAATACCTCGTTCAGGCTCCCTTTCCTTCTGCATCTGCAAATATAAATTGGTTCGAATGTGGAGTGTCAGCAAATGCGTGGCTCAAAACCGCTTAGTGATGCAGCGCAATCTGCCAGTTAGAGTTCAGTAATGTCATGATTCGACATTCAACACATGCAACAACTGCGTGACATTCTTCAGCGAACGATATTACCTGCTTATTGTCGAATCAATTCATTCGTAGCGCTCCAATCTAATCTATTGGTATTTACCGAATGAAATGCTCATTTCAGACCAGCATCAGACAGCCGTCTTATCGATGAACTTTGAGCAACTTGTCAAATTTCTATAATCAATGAAATCGCGTGATTTTTCCTGTCATTAGCGAGTATTCGCTCTCAACAATATTGTTTACAGATGAATATAACGGCACATAATTTCAATCCAAATGACAGAAAGTATCATGCATGTTGTTGTCATGTGAAGACATTTACGATTATTTTCGGTATTCTCGAAATATTCACTATTTGTTTTATGCTTGTCGCAGGTTTGTTCAATTTTAGTATTCCCCGTCCCCATTGACCGTTTATTTTCTCTCAATTCGCAACTATATGATAGCAATAATGATGTCGGCTTTTTACCTCGAAATTTGATGTGATGATTGATGAAATTCGCTCTTTCTGGTAGTGTCGAAACGTTCCGTTGCTCATTCACATGATAATAATTACTATCTGAATAATCATTGCCACTAGAATGACTGTTAGCTAATAATTGCCATTGATTTGAATTTTTGAGGAAAATTTTTGATTATGAATGATACGAACCATGATATGGACACTTTCCCTTTATCGTTTTAAATACAACTGAAAATTTTGCATGCTTGAGTGAACTGTGTTCTAGTGAACTGTTCGCACATGAAGCGTTGTTGAATTTTCAGTATTACCAGATATCAACTCGAAAATGTGTGGCAGTGGAAGTCTGACAAACAACAGCACTTCGAGTACACAGCTTTCTCAAGACTCACAAGCTGCAAATACTCTTGAAACGCTCGAAAAGTAAGTGCCAATTCATATTTTGCTGTAGAGTCGCGCGCTCACTCCTCAGAGGACATTTAGAACACAGATTGCAAATGTGGTCTCAAATCCAATCATTCGCTTACGATGTAAAGCAAAAGTTTGCGATCGCTCAGCCAGTTTGTAGTTATTGTTCCAGTGATAAGCCTCAATTCAGTTTTGATTTCTGTTGAGATCAAGCACTGATCAATCGATCTATTTCCTCGGCTTATTTCAAAACATTGAAACGTTGTATTGAAGTTCGGATTCGCACAAACATAAAAAACTGATTCGACATCAGATCCACTCAGCTTTTAGTGGCTGTAGTGTACTTTCAAATGTACTTTTAGTGGTTGTAGTGACGCACGAATGTACTCTCAAACAATCACATAAAATAACGCATAATTTGTGAAATTATAATGGGCAAGTGCATGTTAGCCTCGACAACTAAACATAGTTGTTCCACATGAACAACTATGTTTAGTTGTGAGGCTCTTCATTGTGCACTTTTATTTAACAACGAAACTTGTCATCATCATAAGATATCAGCAAAAACCGTCGATATCCACGCAATGCGAACAAGCAACACTTTGAATTCATCGGCAATCATCGGTAAACATAGCAGTGAATGAATAGACCCTCAGTCGGGTCACTGAATGACGAAATAGCACGCAACAATGCATTAGTTTCAGGTAAAGTTATTGCATTCATAGTGATTCAGCGGAAGTGTTTATCAGTTGAAGAGTGTTATTTGCAGAAACTTTGACAAACTTAAATTTGTGGCATGTGAGCTGAACGTACTCTGGTTGGTATGGTCTGTATTGCAGATATTTACGGTTAACTTAACGTTTTATGGAATGAAAAATATAAAATGGAAACTCTTCATACCACATATGATGTTCAGGTCAGTTCGGAAACAAAATTCCTTGCGTAAATGTTCGAGGAGAAACCGATCTCTCAACGTTGTTTCAGTTCGAACAATTTTTTAAAAAAGAAATCGAAAGTTTCGAACATCAATCATAATCACGATGTGATAGTTCCATACTTGAACTATGTTGAATGAACCAGTGAATGGAGTAATGCTTCGATAAGCAATTTGTGAGAGATGTATCTGCACAATCGTTTGTGAAAATTCCTCAAATGAAACAAATTCATGCTCTGAGCAGATGCAAAATAATAGTTTGTGTTCTTGTGGCATGCCAGTGTTCATATTTGAAAGCAAAGCTTTTGTAAAATATTCATTAAAATTTTATGACTTTTCATTCACGTATTTTTGACCCATTCAGTTATAGGCAAACGATCAAAATATCACAATTACTTACCGATTACTGCAGAACGAAATTGATTTTCCCAATAATATTTCTTAGTTCGTTCCAGCGAAAGTAAAATCTATAATAACAGCCAATGCCTCAAGCTAATACTCCTCTTAGTTGTTATCCACCAAGTAATGCTCATCTCAGTTGCTACTACTGACTTCTCTCTGTTCACTACAAAACAGCTAGCCATAATTTTGGTATGCAAATGAAAAAAATCTGGAACGAAGCGGGCTCATCAAATCTATTGCCTGCCTTCCGCATATGCTTCTGTGAACGCTGATGAAGTCTCGATTTCAGATTATTGTGCCTCTTGCTACTTTTATCATTGGTGATTATATTTTTGATAGCATCGTTCATATATTTACGTTACAAAGAAACGCATTCAACTGGTATATACTTCATTGTGATCGCATCAATGACCTCATTCTTCATTTTGTTTTGGATTTATATCATGGTTTGTTGCATTTCTCTTCGTACCATCACTTTTCATTTTGTACGGACTACTTCGACATGAAACTGATTTAGCGCAATCTAATTATGATAACGATCATAATGCCGTTGCATACGGTGATTTTCTCGTTAAAACCGGTTGAATGTAGCCAATATCAGTGAAGAGCCCGTGTAAGACGATGACTTCACACTATTACTTGACGCAAATGTAATATTCTCATGTGTTTAATTAGGCTTTTATCACGTCCATTATAGCGATGGTTGTGCCTAGACCGGATTAGGGATAGGATAGCCATACAGTGAAGTAATGACACCGATTCCACGAATACTTTTAAGAAGGATTGAGAGACTGTATTGGAATGATTGTAAAATTGCAGGAAAGAGATGATTTGTTTGTGTTCAAACGTCTAACGATGTATTTTTCATGCACATCACTTCATGTGCAATAGAAGAGTGAATTTGTGCTCTGTTTCAGGTGTGTCAGTTAAGATGTTGTCAGTTTGTGAAACGTTCCGCAGAAACCGGATTCTCGGTTTCGACAACTCGACCTCTCGGGCCTCCGACAATATCACTGAGTGATGCACGTCCAGCAGCCATACAAGCGAATGCACCAACTGTACCAGCTGTTCGTCAACTACCACCTCTAAGGCACACATACCATCGAAGGGCACCACCGGCATACGGTGATGCTGTTGCATACGGTCATTTTCCCGTTAAAACCGGTTGAATGTGACCGATCTCAACCAAGAGACAANTTCGCTTTCACTATATTCATTTTCTAATAACTGCGTTTTACTGGAGTTTTATATCAGAACAACTCGATCGATCTCTGTTCCATGTCATGCTCAATATCCAATTTCATATTCTTCGCTCATCAGTGATAGAAATCCAGTGTAACTTTAGATGATAACTTCTAAGTACATGCATTTTTGTTGCGCCATTTAAACGAGATGCAATAAGGTTGTTGTTCGTTGAAATTATTTCGCTTATTATTACCCCTGGCATGTACTGCTTATGAATTTACGAATGAATTGCTGCATATTTAATGAAAATAAAAAATTTCATATAGTATTATAAGTGGCTGTATAGGACGCTTCACAAAATCACTAGAATTGGCTCTTTGCTGAATCTTATTTGAATTAAAAAACACATGTTGACATGATATCCATCAAAAAGAGCACATTCAATTCTATACATGTTATGAGATGATGGAAAACTTCAAAATGCAACAGTCAGACGAAAAAACAATAAAAATAAGTATTTATTAGTAAAACTGCGAGGAAGACGAAAAAACAAAAATATTAGTATTCTTTATTTCTCTCCTACTGAAATGAATGCATCTAACAACGAGCGAATGGATGAAAATGCACAAAAACGACTACCAAACGAAGCTTATTGTTAGGTAACAAGCAAACAAACTCTTTCACGTCGTTTCTTACTAAATATGTATTAAATAGTTCGATTTCTCACATATATCATCCCTTCATCATCAATTCAGTTGTTCAACTCATATCTACTGTCCATTTGCGTTTCCGCTGGCTGCTTTGAAACACTAGAAATGGAAAGATTAATAATATTTGGATAAATTCTGGCAGTTATTGAGTAAATGGTACACAATGCACAATGAGAATTAGTGCACAGTAACACCAAGATCATCATCAATATAAATAGTAAAACAAAACTAACTAGAATCACAATCAGAAATGAATGAACAAAAAATTAAAAACAGAATAGCATCCATGTATTATACTCTGCGATCACGAATCACCTAATTACCAAAAATGTGTAAAATTATAATAGAACTGTGAAATGATGAAATGCGTATAGAACAGGGAAACTAACAATGATATTATTTCTTTATCACTGCTCAAAAGAGCGAAAGACAAAAACAGATCCACAATCTAGTGCCGTGAGATAATTTACACAAACAACGAATGGATGCAAAACAATCACTTTGAGGGTTTTCATAAAACAACCACTGCTTCACTGAACCATTTCAATACGATATTACACCATAAAATCATGCTTGTGCCATAGTTTCTGCTATTAACAAATACTACGGAAGAGTTAACGTTTAATGACACAAGTAACAAGACACCGCAAACAATTTCGTAAGAACATTCACAAAATGTACAACTAAACGGAATGGAATCACGTTGAATTTATCTCTAATCTGAGGGTTACGTTAAAGAAAAACACCTCGTAACGTCTAATAACACCATACACCGAATCAAAACGAACAAATTGATGGTGTTCAGGTGGTCAAGGAAGACAGCGCGTGAGGGACAATTGAGAAACAACAATAACCAAACATAGGGCAAAGCCAAGGACAAGATGCACGGATCCAATTTGCGATCTGAATGTTCACATGTGGACGCAGAAAATGGTAATCAACGATACTTATGGTGCAGTTGAAGAAACTTTTCGTAATGAGTACTGACAATTGAATGAATGAAGAAGTTAATGAAATAATGGAGTGAATCAACAATGTTTTCCTGAAGTGATATAATCAATATTCATTTAAAACACTATCATCCAGGAAAACTTCACATAAAACGGCCGGCAAGGTAACGAATAATCACAAACATCATTACACGAATACCTTCACGTTTAGAATGCAGACACATAACAGTTCATCAATAGATCTAAAGTAAATTCGAGCAAGTTGCTTCAATTTGAACTTTTTTCTTCGGATTCGATTTATCGCGTACCGAAACTTCAAATGTTTTTTCTGGTGAAGGCAGTTTAATGGCGGCTTCAGCTTCATCCGAACAACACCGCTGCCGCACGGGTGGTACTAAGGACTTCGGTGAAATATCGACTTTTTGCAAAACACGCGATGACCTGAAGATAATCATATTCCGCTAAGTGTTACAGAAAAAAAATTGAACTGAAAGCCAATAACTGCACTATGATACAATTATTGTCAACGCGTGGAAAGATGACTTGAATGAGGTTGTGAAATAACTTAATTCATCGAAAGAACAACACCTCTGAATAACAATCACAAGAAACTGCTATCACCACTCATTCGATAAACAAAATATCCAATTGTAAGACTTCCATCAGAATATGAACAAATGGAAAACAATAGCGAACAAGCAAACCTCCCTGCCCCCCCCCTCCCCACCAAAAAAAAAACAAAACAAAAATCAAAATCATGAGATGATATACCTGTTCAATTTGAGATGACTTTTGATGAGATCATCAGAACATTGAGCAGCCATCAGCGATAATTCACCAGCCATCACAGCACCGCAAATAATTTCAGCCAAACGTTTCGAGTTATCACCTGCACTTTGCCTATTCGCACCTGCACATCCAAGCATCTGTAAATTTTACAAGTCTCGTTGTTAATGCTTACAACGGTGATTAATGCTCAATTAAGTTCACTTCAACTACAGTCTCATCTACTCTAAATGAATGAAACTGAAATAACTTAAAGCATCTGCAACAAAATCTTATAACTTGAATGTTCAATACAAGTTAGTGATCAATGATCACAAAAATCGTAACTGAAAATAATGTAACCTTAAGACAAGCTTTCTGAGCAGGAAGAATGGTGCCACCACCCACAGTACCTACTTCCAGACATCGCATATTACACGAGATATACAAATCACCCAATGAAGTTTTCTCAAATGTTGTCATGCACATACTACTTGAAACAACCTGCGCTGCGTCCTGGAAACACCATCAAAGATAAAACACTAATGACCAACTTAGTATTACACAATCACTGATTTAAACTTTCAGTTCAGCATATACTTTAAAATTTTTGACAATACATTTGTGGGCAGAATAAAAACAATCAAAATTGGATTCATACACTCGAAAAGACGATGGAAAATTATTGAAAATCCGATGAATTTATCGGTGGTAGATTACATCAAGGTGCATACAACACTGAATAATCAACGAAATGAACAGAGAAAATTTATGAATGCTGTGGAACTAAATTTGAGAATGACGACCTGTCCTGTGGCGATAAAGATAGCAGCAACGATATTTGCAGCATGTGCGTTCCATCCGCCAATAGTGCCAGCCATTGATGAACCAATCAACAATTTACTTTCTGCTAATCGGCACATCGAATCCACGTCTGTTTTCAGTATATTCCGAACAACTGCAGACGGTATTACGGCCTCCGACACAAGCGATTTGCCGCGTCCTTTTATCCTTCAACCACTTTACTACTATTCATCACATACACGATTCTTACGTCAATCGTGCGGAGCAATAGAAACGACAGAACAAAGCATTAAATGGTGAATGTGCACTGAAATTCTACAAATTCATTGCAACGTCGATATGCAGTTTTTAAAAAAAANAAAAAAAACTGTGTCAGAATTAGCGATATTCAATGATGTTAAACTAACAGCGAATCCTCAAGCAAATCACTAAAATCACTGGTGTATTTCCACAAATTAATGTACTCAAAATCATTTCACAAAGGAAAACGACAAAATAATAATGTAAAATATACATATTTATATGCAGCAAAGAAATAAAATTGTAAAAAATGAAATGGAACCGAACCAATTCAGAGCACAAGCTTTCTTATCGACACAGTAGTTGCCAGATAACGAGATCAATTTCACTGAAGGGAATCGTTGCTTGATGTTCGTCATGACTGCACTCACACCCCTGTAAATCGCAGGAAAAACTAACAATTCATACTAACAAGAAAACACTTGTAAGAAAAAAACTAGCAAAAATCTAGCAATTATATTAAATTCGAGATGTAAACTACTGCTTGCATCTTAAAGATCATATAAAATTAAGGATTTGATCGATGATGCGCTCAATTCGAAATAATCCTCTCTGAACACAGCTAAATTGTGCCACACGAATTAACGATTACTCACTTCGACACCATATTCATCCCCATCGCATCACCGGTTTTCGCTTCGAAGCGAATATACAAAAGACGACCATTCGGGTCTGCATCTAACCTCTGCAGTCGTGCATAGCTGAAACGAAACGATAAAAAACAGAGTTCGAATGCTGGAAGTCACCTTAAAAGTCATAAAAGTCAACTTAAAACTAGCAAAGTAACTTAGGAGCATGAACTGCAATGATTACAGAAAACATATAAGGACTACGGGATATCGCTAAACAAGTCAAAACGATGACTCTGATGTGCGATAAGGAATAATGGAACGAATGTTGTATCGGATAGGAACAAGACAACTGGCTGAAGCGATAATTGCTCACTTGCTTGTTGCATCGAACACTTTCTTCAATTCTGCGAAATTCGATGCATCTTCGAGCCATTCTTTCAGTTCTCTGCAAATGAAATTATACAATCAACTGAGATGCGATGTGCTCTTTTTAGTTATGAGCGCAATGTGTGAATAGTTGGGATTACACCGAATTGTCGTTAGCCGATTCATATTATCTCGATAAATGTTTTGAATATAAGAATTGCAATGAGAGATCCTAATGATCAAATGAAAGAAGATATGATGATTACGCTGATAGGCTTACAGTGCTTTAATTGCATTTTCCAGTTGCACAACAGGTGCACGTGTCATTGCATCTTTATACACACGAGCTGTTACGCCACCAGATTCCTTTAATTAACACATTCATTTTTCGATGAATCCTATCGAATCAGCTGAATATTTCAAAAAAGAAGAGAACAATGAAACCAATCTGAAATAAACGAGCAATTTAAGCAGTGAACCAACCGTAATTGCCCTGCATCCACGATTCGTGCTAGCAACAAGAGCACCTTCAGTGGTTGCCAGCGGAATCAAATATCGGCGTCCATTTACTACCAGAGGACCAGCAACACCAGTTGGTATAGGTACATAACCAATCACGTTCTCACAACATGCACCCGATACCTTAAAATTATCCAGTAATATGCATTCACCTAGATTACTAATCGTAAGCATTAACTCTGTATGGATTCATAAAGTAAGTTCATCGATGCAATGTGGTTACAAACAAGTGCTTAAACTGGCATTTAACCGATAAGAACTGCAGAAAAAGAAACAAATGATTTAATACAAAATGGAATGAAACTGACAACTGAATAGTCGAACTGTTTGAAAGGTAGTTCATTGAGAGCAATATTCGAACTTGATGAGATATGCATACGACGCAAAGAAACGGCTCGCACCAAATCCGAACCCAACTTACTTTCCAATTCTCGTTGTTTCATATATCCCATATTCAACAATTCAACTATCTCCCTATAAATCGAGGAAGAAATTGGCCTATGCAATTAATTTATCATTTACATGAGCAACATATCGTCAAAATGTGCTCAACGAAACTGGAACGTTACTCTGTCATGTGCAATAGCTACGAGGATTTTACCTGAACGGAGGCTAAAACAATACCTTCCAATTCGACGTTACTATGAAAATACGTTGTCATTGCGAAGATCCATGTGAATAATGAATGCGATTTGATAAGCAAACAACATTCGCAATTTCGAAAATAAAACAGCGACGGACTATTGGAAAGGTTGTGGTGACACGACATAGAAGAGACAAACTGATAACTGTTCATGTACTCGTTTTTGGAGTTTATGAACCGATCACCACACACCATTTGAGATGTTGATAAACTATGATTCCAATAGAAAATGAAAGAGATATATGGAACGACGAAACTAACTTGTCTTTCATGTTAGCGAAATCTTGCCATGCAATACCGGTTGTTTTCAGTCTCGTTATAAGAGTGTTCAGCGTAACAGCATCCGGTTTATCATTGGATGGGTCGTACACCGGTAACGAACCCAAATTCGCGAGATCCACTTGGACACCGACATCACTGGATACTCCTTGTTCAAAATGGGAAGAAGAGCCTGAACAAAAAAGATGATATTGCTACTAATCAGTTATAGTAAATAATTTTCATTAGTTAAGCTCCGCCTTCACTAAACATATCAAGAAGACTAAAAGTATGATGTACTATCAATCTGACCAAAATTATCATCGAACGTTGGCGGCTTGTTTTGAGAAGGAGAAAGTGCTATTAATTCAGCAAACACTGATGAGTCTAAGCAGTTGAAAGCAACTTAAATGTTAATGAAACTGTGAGTGCAGTGATCACACTTGACTACGGCATTTGGCATTTAGGGATATAAATTCGCTGAATTCACGAATTCTTTTTGCGTTATGCTAAAATAAATTGCTAGCTCTAAAACGACATAATCGACACTGTCGATTTGAGCGAGTGAAAAAACATCTCACCCATAGGCTTGCAAAACGTTAGATCGCTTGAAGAATCGGAAGGACCGAGCTCAAACTTCGGTTTACCCGAATTGTGCTCTTCACTCTTTACTGTTGCGGTTGCAGGAACTGAATGGTTGATGACTGAATCGAACGATGGTTGCAATAACTGAAAGATTTGTTCGACCAAATTTAATTTCCATTCTCCAGTATCATCTAGAACAACTGCGTTGACGATGTTGGATAGGCTTTGCCTCAATTCTCCACTCAAAATTCTCCTTCGCTCTACATTTGGGCCCAAGCAATCTTTATTCATCACCTGAAATTAACTCAAATGACAAAGTTACGAGAGAAACGCAAAACGAAACACATGCTTAATCGCCATATTCAATGTAAACACATCTGCAAGTTATCAGTTAAAAGATTGTGGAATGACCTTAAAT